CTTTCACAGCAGGAGAGATCTGTGTGTGTGTGTACTCAACTAGTTGTGCTTGCGGGGGTTGAGCTCTGGCTCTTTGGTCCCGCCTCTCAACTGTCAATCAACAGGTGTACAGGTTCCCGAGCCTATTGGGCTCTATCATATCTACACTTGAAACTGTGTATGGAGTCAGCCTCCACCACATCACTTCCTAATGCATTCCATTTGTCAACCACTCTGACACTAAAAAAGTTCTTTCTAATATCTCTGTGGCTCATTTGGGCACTCAGTTTCCACCTGTGTCTCCTAGTGCGTGTGCCCCTTGTGTTAAACAGCCTGTCTTTATCAACCCTGTCGATTCCCTTGAGGATCTTGAATGTGGTGATCATGTCCCCCTTAAGTCTTCTGTCTTCCAACGAAGTGAGGTTTAATTCCCGTAGTCTCTCCTCGTAGCTCATACCTCTCAGCTCGGGTACTAGTCTGGTGGCAAACCTTTGAACCTTTTCCATTTTAGTCTTATGCTTGACTAGATATGGACTCCATGCTGGTGCCGCATACTCCAGGATTGGTCTGACATATGTGGTATATAACGTTCTGAAAGATTCCTTACACAAGTTTCTAAAGGCCGTTCTTATGTTAGCCAACCTGGCATATGCTGCTGCTGTTATCCTTTTGATATGAGCTTCAGGGGACAGGTCTGGCGTGATATCAACCCCCAGGTCTTTCTCTCTCTCGGACTCTTGAAGTATTTCATCTCCCAAGTGATACCTTGTATCTGGTCTCCTGCTTCCTACCCCTATCTTCATTACATTACATTTGCTTGGATTAAACTCTAACATCCATTTGTTCGACCATTCCTGCAGCTTGTCCAGGTCTTCTTGAAGCCTCAAGCTGTCCTCCTCTGTCTTAATCCTTCTCATAATTTTGGCGTCGTCAGCAAACATTGAGAGGAATGAGTCTATACCCTCTGGGAGATCATTTACGTATATCAGAAACAGGATAGGTCCAAGTACAGAGCCCTGTGGGACTCCACTGGTGACTTCACGCCAGTCTGAGGTCTCACCCCTCACTGTATCTCTGTTTCCTATTGTTTAGGTGCTCCCTTATCCACTGGAGCGCCCTACCAGTTACTCCTGCCTGTTTCTCCAGCTTATGCATCAACCTTTTATGGGGTACTGTGTCAAAGGCTTTCCGACAGTCCAAAAAATGCAGTCCGCCCACCCTTCTCTTTCTTGTTTAATCTTTGTCACCTGATCGTAGAATTCTATCAATCCTGTAAGGCAAGATTTACCCTCCCTGAACCCATGTTGATGGGTTGTCACGAAGTCTCTTCTCTCCAGATGTGTTACTAGGTTTTTTCTCACAATCTTCACACACACACACACACACACACACACACACACACACACACACACACACACACACACACACACACACACACACACACACACCACACACACACACACACACACACACACACACACACACACACACACACACACACACACACACACACACACACACACACACGCACACACACACGCGCGCGTACACACACACGTACACGTGTGTGTGTGTGTGTGTGTGTGTGTGAGATGGAACACCTATGGGGTGTTCTATAGTTTTGTATTACTAGTGGTTTTACTTACTATGGACTGATTCCATTACTAGTATATTACTAGATATATTACTAGTGGTTTTACTTAAAGATTGATGTAGTTAGACTTTATGATAACAGGGCCAGTAAGGTTCTTTCGGAGCTGCTTCAAGGAACACGAGAGGTTAACACGGAAGTATTAATTTCAACCTGACAATGGAGAAATTTGCACTATTCCATCTCTCGTTATGCTTCTTCGCAGGAAGAGCCACATCGGCGTCTTTGCCAAAAAAGCAGCAAACGTCTAGATCGTCAGTACCACTAAACGTTTGCATCATGTTATCTACCTCATGAATGCTATAGCTAAACTACCTAACATATTGAGATCAGTTCCCGAGTTCATGAGCTATAACCTTTTCAACCACTGAGAGGATGGGGTAAGGGGGTCCACTACCACTGAGAGGATGGAGTATGGGAGTCCACTACCACTGAGAGGATGGGGTATGGGGGTCCACTACCACTGAGAGGATGGGGTATGGGGGTCCACTACCACTGATAGGATGGGGTATGGGGTCCACTACTACTGATAGGATGGGTACAGGGGTGTATAATAAATTAAAATCTAAGACGTTCACCCGGCGTTCTACGGGCGTTCGACCCGGCGTTCGACCCGGCGTTCTACGGGCGTTACTAGTACTCATACCCTCTGTCACTTGCCAAGCGTCACAAGGCTCAACACGCCGCCTGGTGGAGTGTGATGGACAACATTAGCGTTTGAGGTTAAGAAATACACAAGGTAACTCCAGGGTGCTTCTTTGAAAATGTAGTTTCATCTTTTTTTGAAGCCTGTAGAGCTTCTAAGTACTCTAGATGTGTAGTTATGTTTGCCAGGCAAATTCATTCCTCCCACTGAAGCAGCAGGGTACAGTCCTTGCACCGCTGCTTTTCCTTGTTCTCATATCAGGTATAGATTCAAATACAAGTCACAGTTTCGTATCATCCTTTGCAGATGACACAAAAATCAGAATGAAAATTACCTCTGTTGAAGATATTGAAAAACTACAAGCAGATAATAATAAAGTTCGACTGGGCAACAGAAAATAACATGTTTAACAGTGATATATTCCAGGTACTCAGATACGATAAGAAATACCTGAAACATAATACAGGGTACAAAACACAATGAAATCTGCCCATAATAGGTAAACAGCATGTAAAGGAATTGGGAATAATGATGTCTGTCGACTTAACGTTTAGGGAGCATAACCTAGCAAATATTGCGTCAGCCAGAAAAATGATAGGATGGAGAACTTTCAAATCCAGGGATCCCATCGCGATGGTTGTACTCTTCAAGTCACTTGTGTTGTCCCGTCTTGAGTACTGCTCAGTACTCGCTTCCCCCTTCAGAGCAGGAGAGATTGCTGAAATAGAGTGAATACAGAGAACATATACGGCATACATAGACGCGATAAAGCACCTAAATTATTGGGATCGCCTCAAAGCTCTCCAAATGTACTCGCTAGAAAGGAAACGAGAGATATACCAAATACCATATACGTGGAAAATACTGGAGGGCCAGGTCCCAAATCTGCACTATAAAATAACAACGTACTGGAGTGAACGATATGGAAGAAAATGCGGAATAGAACCAGTGAAGAGCAGAGGTGCCATAGGCACAATCACTGAACACTGTATAAACATCAGAGGTCCACGGTTGTTCAACGTCCTCCCAGCGAGCATAAGAAATATTGCCGGAACAACCGTGGACATCTTCAAGAGGAAACTAGTTTTCTTCAAGGAGTGCCGGACCAACCGGGCTGTGGTGGGTATATGGGCCTGCCGGTCGCTCCAAGCAACAGCCTGGTAGACCAAACTCTCGCAAGTCAAGCCTGGCCCCAGGCCGGACTTGGGAAGTAGAAGAACTCCCAGAACCCCATCAACCAGGAGAGAGCCGAAGCTCAACCCCTGGAAGCACGATTAGGCAAGTACACAGAGGCGAGTGCCCACCCACCTGCCCCTTAACGTTTACCACCTCGTTCCAATGGTAATTTAGTTTCCTCCGTTTGTTCCTTTAAGAGTCGGGGTTACACAGTGTTCACTAGCACGGCCCGGGTCCCGAACCCAACTTCAGGGCGTTGGGTTTGTTTGTGTTCTAGTGAAACCCAATATCAATTGATGACACTCGGGAGGGCTCAGGGTAGGTACTGTCCCCCCCTATTCTCTGCGAGGGGTTGAGGGGGGGGGTTAACAAGTGCATTATTTGCTAATTGCATTGGAGTGGTCAAAGGTTTTAGAGGTGTGGCTGTGGAGGGATCTGATCTATTTTAGGAGTTATTTAAGTTTGTTGTGGTTATACGAAGTAAGACAGTGTGGCTGGGGATGGTTGTGTTGTAGTTACAACCTGATTATTAAAGTTAATTACCTGATTATTCTCTCCATAACCATCCTGGGGGGGAGGGGAGGGTTGAAGCTTTGGTTACGTGATGAGTTCAGGAACTGGACTCTAACGTTCTATATAATTACAGTACTGTAGCTAACGTTACAGTACATGGTCATGAGTTCTGTTCTGTTTACAATACGCAAACTTGAGATACTTGGCTAGGATTGTCATCCTGGATAATATACATGGATATTTCTTGAACATTAGCGATAGTTTTCTAAATTCTTCGATTTGTGTTTACATACACTTGCAGAGTAGCTGAAGGTATGTGAATGATGGCAACCTACAATGACGATGGAATGACGTTTCGGTCCGTCCTGGACCATTAGCAAGTCATTATACGACTGGATAACGGTTCAAGACGGACCAAAAAGTCGTAGTTTCTTCCTCTTATGATTACCAAACCACACATCAGATCTTCAGCCACATTCGGGACTCGTCGACTGCAGTTTTGTTGAAAAATTTTCCGTTTGGTCAAATAGAGTTGAGGAGCAGCAGGTGCAGTCTCGCAGACGTAAAGTGGCGCCCAGACCAAGTTGTGTGGACGACGAGTCTGGTGGTCGTACTCAGTCACCCACTACACAAAGAAATCACAATAGCGTGATAAATCAAATGAACAAATCGACAAAGGCAATCGACTAAGGCGCGTCTGGGATCATCCCGGACGTAGGTTCGAACCCCCATCACAGCCCTTGTGAATTTGTTCATTAACCCACTCTTGTACGGCTCGCCCTACATAGAATAGTATATAGATGTAATATCTAGTCTCAGAGGCATGTGTAGTGTGTTCTTCAATTAATGATCACTCGATTATAATATACAAAAAATGGTAAATAACACTGATATTCGAAAACCCTAATGTCTAATTTTTGTTATGAGGCGCCTTAGGCCTGTTCTATAATTTGGAATTTTCAGTGTTTTCCCCCCATGTGATTAATCTTGTGGCAGTTTGACCCCGTGTTGACCTCGACCATTCCCTGTCCACAGATCGCCCGGGAGATAGAGGTCCACCGCCACCTGCGGCATCGCCACGTCGTCCGCTTTCACCACTACTTCGAGGACGACGCCAATGTTTACATCATCCTCGAGAACTGTGCCCGAAGGGTGAGTGTAGGCAATAGAGCGGCTTCAGCAGCAGCAGTAGCTACATGTTGAGGTCTACTAGTAGGTTCTAGAACGCCGGGACCGCCTTGTTGTTCCTGGTGACCTGAGTAGTTTCTATAACTGTGGGTTCTAGAACTGTGGGCCTACGGGCCTTGTGGGTTTATAGGGTATCGTAGTCCAGTTGGCAGAGATGGTTGGACACTTTTTCTTTCACCTAATGCACCTGTTCACCTAGCAGTAAATAGGCCACTGTTGTGGGGGGTATTTCTTCTGAAGCTTCAGTAGTTCGTCTTGGTGGGACCTCGATACATGCCTAAAGTATACATATATACATAGGCTGCCTGTCCTCAACTAAACGAATGATTGTCACAGTAAGGGCGGGGCAAGCCGGTATACTCCAGTAAGAACACAGCAGGTATACTCCAGTAAGAACACAGCAGGTATACTCCAGTAAGAACACAAGCAGGTATACTCCAGTAAGAACACAGCAGGTATACTCCAGTAAGAACACAAGCAGGTATACTCCAGTAAGAACACAGCAGGTATACTCCAGTAAGAACACAGCAGGTATACTCCAATAAGAACACAGCAGGTATACTCCAGTAAGAACACAAGCAGGTATACTCCAGTAAGAACACAGCAGGTATACTCCAGTAAGAACACAGCAGGTATACTCCAGTAAGAACACAGCAGGTATACTCCAGTAAGAACACAGCAGGTATACTCCAGTAAGAACACAGCAGGTATACTCCAGTAAGAACACAGCAGGTATACTCCAGTAAGAACACAGCAGGTATACTCCAGTAAGAACACAGCAGGTATACTCCAGTAAGAACACAGCAGGTATACTCCAGTAAGAACACAGCAGGTATACTCCAGTAAGAACACAGCAGGTATACTCCAGTAAGAACACAGCAGGTATACTCCAGTAAGAACACAGCAGGTATACTCCAGTAAGAACACAGCAGGTATACTCCAGTAAGAACACAGCAGGTATACTCCAGTAAGAACACAGCAGGTATACTCCAGTAAGAACACAGCAGGTATACTCCAGTAAGAACACAGCAGGTATACTCCAGTAAGAACACAGCAGGTATACTCCAGTAAGAACACAGCAGGTATACTCCAGTAAGAACACAGCAGGTATACTCCAGTAAGAACACAAGCAGGTATACTCCAGTAAGAACACAGCAGGTATACTCCAGTAAGAACACAGCAGGTATACTCCAGTAAGAACACAGCAGGTATACTCCAGTATGAACACAAGCAGGTATACTCCAGTAAGAACACAGCAGGTATACTCCAGTAAGAACACAGCAGGTATACTCCAGTAAGAACACAGCAGGTATACTCCAGTAAGAACACAAGCAGGTATACTCCAGTAAGAACACAGCAGGTATACTCCAGTAAGAACACAGCAGGTATACTCCAGTAAGAACACAGCAGGTATACTCCAGTAAGAACACAGCAGGTATACTCCAGTAAGAACACAGCAGGTATACTCCAGTAAGAACAATATGGGAGCGTTGCTTGGCATAGAACTAGGGTCCTGGCCGCCCCAAGACGCACATCTCCCACTAGACAAGCACGAGTTTTTCTACTATAAGGTCTGTCGTTGGGGGAGTTTATATTGATTAAATGGTACCTTTAATGCATAATAGGGAGGCATTTCTATTCTTTAAATCTCAACAAGAAATGATTTCAAAAAGTGTTTAGGGTTGGGTTCCATCCTCTAATGTTGCAGGTAATTTTCACTTCCAGTTCTCGCTTACTCGATTCAATATTAGTCTTGCATTCTCTCTGCAGCGTAACGTAATTTGCATAATCCACGAGGCTGCCTGTCACTGTAAGTTTCCTGTAAGAGTTTTTTCACGTCCTATTTGCCGTGAGATCAGTTTTATCCTCCCAGGTGCTTGCTTTTGTAATGTTGTATAATTCGTGGAATATTGTTTTAAAATTAATCAAATTTTATTTAATTTGATGGTCAATCCTCTACTCACCTAGTAGTGCTTGCGGGGGTGGAGCTCTGGCTCTTTGGGCCCGCCTCTCAACTGTCAATCAACTGGTGTACAGATTCCTAAGCCTACTGGGCTCTATCATATCTACATTTGAAACTGTGTATGGAGTCAGCCTCCACCACATCACTGCCTAATGCATTCCATCTGTTAACTACTGTCCTAGTGTGTGTGTGTGTATTCATTTTAAAATTTTAATCGAAATTTATATTACCCAAGCAATTGGTCTTTTCGGTACTTGCGTTTTGCAGGTCTGCGTTCGATTTCCGATGGTCCAAGTGGTTGGTCATTTCCTTCGCTCCGTTCTTTCCCAGCTCCTTGACCTCGTACACCTTCCAAGTGCCATAGTCATACCGGCTTGGCGCTTGATCCGATAATTACCTTGTTCCGTGTCCCCATAAGATCCTGTTGAGTCTTAAAGTGAAGGTTTAAGGTGAATCCAACGATGTTGTGGTCACGTGACCGTTCCTCCACCCTCAGGTGATATAGTCCGTGTGAGAGGTCACCGCAGGTGTCGCCTCCCGTTGACAGGTTCTTCATTACTTTATTCTCAAATCACTTTATGTCCTGCATCCTTGTCACCTCAAAACGTATTAAAAGCAATTGTTGGGCTCCCTTTAGGATGAACAATAAAGAAAACACTACCCTACTTTTAGTTACCTTGAGGTGCTTCCGGGGCTTAGCGTCCCCGCGGCCCGGTCGTCGACCAGGCCTCCTGGTTGCTGGACTGATCAACCAGGCTGCTCGCAGCCTGGTTGATCAGGTATCCTTTGGAGGTGTTTGTCAAGTTCTCTCTTGAACACTGTGAGGGGTCTGCCAGTTATGACCCTTACGTGTAGTGGAAGCGTGTTGAACAGTCTCGGGCCTCTGATGTTGATAGAGTTCTCTCTCAGAATACCTTGCCTTAAACCTTACCTCAACATCAACCTCCTCCTGTTTGGGCAATAGAGCTCTCTTACTTCTATTTCGACTGGTTTCCTTGAGGAAGGTGTCCCTGTCTTAAGAGAGGGGCCGTGAGGCTCCTGCCGCGGGTTGTGGCAGTAATAGCTCCTTGTAACGTTGCTGGGGGCTGAGGCGCCCTAGGCATGCTGGGAAGACAGTGGTAAACCCACCTGGATGTACGGTGTTGTAATGGTGGTGGCGATCCTGTAATTAGGGCGCCACACATTAATTCACAACAAATTAGACGACTCGTCCATCCTCCCGCTACTTTAATAAACTTTATTGCCATCCAGTAGGTAATGAACCAGCTACAAGCCTGTATCACTTAACGCTACAGAAGAAACCCTGTATTACAAGGCGAACTCAACCCTATAGTACTAACTCAACCCTATAGTACTTAATAACATGAAATACATTATATAAAGAAATCTGAAGGTAATGTTGCTGTGCTTTGGAAGTACTGGGGATAATTCCTCCCCCTTCTGTTTCCTCCAAACACTTGCTTCGCCACCTACTCGTCCTGTCTCTTAATCCCCGCCTCCCTCCTCCTGACCCCCGTCAGTTCCTCCCCTTCAAGCCTCCCTCACCCCCTGCCACTTCTCTTCCCTCCTGCCTCGTCCCTGCCTCCCGTCCTCCCCTGACGAAGATCTCCTTTGTGTTGTAACGTGTCGGTCAGATATCATCGTGGGAATTAGTATGCGCCCGCGTCATAGTAGCAGCGTAGAGGGTAATGGTCCAGTCTGAGGAGGGCTCCCTGCATCACTCCCACCACCAAAAGATTCCTGCTCACGTTCTTTGCAATGTGTGGTAGTGGTGGTGGTGGTAAGTAGGTGTTGACTAGTGGTGTGTGAGGCAGGATGGAGGAAGTGACCCGAGAGTTGGTCATCTGGAAATGGTCATCAACGGGTTCCTCCTGCCTGCCTGCCTGCCTGTCTGCCTGTCTGGGAAAAATGCTGGTGGATCTGCTAGAGGTCCCCCAGGGATATCTGCTCCCCCCTACTTTGCCAGGAGCCCGGCACGCGGCTGGGGCTTGAGGGATGTAGGGACATGTGTAAATATAGGAGAGAGGGAGGGAGAAAGTAACAAAGGGCGAGGAGGGAGAGGGAGGGCGCAAGGGGGCAAGAGCGAAGGTTATTTACATTAGTGACGGGAGGTGCAAAGGCTGAAATAAAACATTTTATTTTGGTGGTCGGGTTGAGTGTACAGAAAGAGGACTGCGGTGACCAACAGTGACTGCGGGGCGCTGTGCCCCCCTCCGCCTGGTACCCTTCTTGTTCCTGTGAGAAATATTTGCCCAATCTTTAGCACGATGAATGTGAAGAGGATGAAGACGGGCATGAAAGAGAGGCGAGGAGGAGGAGGAGGGGGAAGAGGAGGTATGGAGAAGGGGGAAGGAGTGTGTGGTGTGAAAAGTAGATGATTTCATGTTCCTTCTGGTAGTTTGTTTCTTAGGGGGTGGAGGGGGGGGGTAGAGGGAAGGAGGGGGTGAGAGGGGAACGCTGATAGAGGTGTGAAAGGGACGAGGGGAGAGTTGTATGATAAAGAATGTGTGAAGAGAGGGTGGAGTGTGTGAGAGATAAGAGTTACGAGAACTACAAGGTGTGTGTGTTGGGGGGGGGGGGCGGGGAGGGAGGAGGGGTTACGCCAATGACTGCCGCCAACTAGACGAGCAGCAGTTAGAAGGGAGAAAAATAAATGGACATCTGTAACTGTGGACATTTGTTGAGCCTTCTCCGCGATTCTCGGTCCGCTGTTTGTGTCCCTCTGTTACTGTTGTTGCTACTGTTGCTTCCCCCTTGCCCTGTTATTGCTACTGTTGCTTCCCCCTTGCCCTGCTGTTGCTACGGTTGCTCCCTCCCTTGACCTGCGCCTCTCCTGTCAAGTCTTGTGTCGAGGGTGAGGGGAGGCAGCCCCCCCCCCACCGGGTGAGGCTGAGAGTACAGAGGGGGAGGGAGGGGAAGAGGTGGGGAGGGGGGAGATGGTGATTGTGATCTCGTGGGGAATCATTACCAGGCTCGGGGGAGAGAGGGGAGAGGAGAGAGG